TAATCACCATAAACTATGCCCACTGTCACCATCTATTTTTACAATAATGGTCTTATGCAGTATTTGTCCTTATGAGACTGAGTTATTTCACTCAGCATAATTCGCGCCAGTCCCTCCCAAGTTATATAGTAATTTTCGAAACGGTTGCTCCCTTAAGCTCATCCACTGTTACAGATCTCTCCTTCATTTGTCCCAACTCCTCTTCATCAGTGTGTCTGTTCATTACAGATGTGGACCCTTCCACAGGTATGCACGCATACACACCACAATGGCAGGTAACAAGGTTTTCAAAGCTTTTAGATATTTTCATCTTCACAGGCTATTTAAATCCCTGGTAGCACTGATCTGAATCTCCAAAGCAGAGTGACGCAGCTGACAGGCCAGCAAGTGCTGGATCCTTCTGTGCTAGAAACATTATCCACGAGAGTCAGAGGGGAGAGTGGGTGAGGGCGGAAAAGTTCAAGTGAAGAACTGATAGTAAAAAGACATTCTGTAGTATTAAAATATAACAGAGGGACTCTGGTGGCACAAAATTGAATTACTTTATTACTAACCTGAAGGTTGGCAGCTGGAACCCACCCAGCGGATCTGTGTGACCCAGACCTGGCTCCCTAGTCCTGGAAAAATGGGGATACAGAAAACCATGCCAGCAGGTCTACTCTCACGTGGGGCTGCCATGAGTCAGAATGGACTCGGCGGCACCCAACACCTGCTTGACTCCAGGCAAGTGGAGGAACACACAGAAGAAGTACGTAATGACAATGACTGCGGGAAGCTGAATATCAAATTTATTATTAATAATAAACCAAAGCTATATCAGGATATGAGGGAGGCTTAATACAAGTTGGAGTTCACCCTGTAGCACTCTAAGCATTCCTTAAGAGTCAACATTGTTCTTCATTTGTATTTGCTGAACCCCTCCCTCCTGAGATAAGCATAATGTAAACAATAGAGAGGAACTTGGCCTTATCTGAAAAAGACTTTCTCATGATCCCTTGTTTTTATTTTCTACTCCCTTGTAATTTTCCTTTGTTTACTTTCCTGATGATTCTCAATAAATACACAGAAGCATGGCTCCAGGAGCTTCAGTCAAGAGCCCCCTGTTTTTATGCTCTGTTCTATCTCATTCTTGGTTGTCTGTCTCATTATTAATAATTATAAAAGTACTTTACCCTCGGTCTGCAACAAGTGACAATGACAATGGCCAAACCCTACCCGCTGCTGTCAGGTTGACTATGACACCCTGCGACCCTCCACCACACTTCTGATGCTGTAAGTCATAATGGGCGCAAAAGGTCCCTCTCTCTCCAGAGAGGGGCCTGCTGGATTTGAACCTGTCACTTTTGAGTTAGCAGGCCAAGGGTAAGAGAAAAACTTACCTAGGACTGGCCGAGAACATTGGAACATTCTGAATTAGATGATTAGGTGTGTGGGGGGGGG